ACCAAAGGCCCCAGGCCCGGTGGGCAGCAGAGGGCCGAGACTCCAGTCCTGCGACTGACGACCTTGAGCCTTTCCCGCGGTATCAAGCCGCTTTCCCAGTGCAAACTGAAATTTTCATACTTTTTCTTTTCTTTCTTTTTCTTTTTTTTTAAAGAGAGATTTTTGCTATAGAGCACGTGTGTTCATTGGAGAGACAGAGAGAGACAGAGACAGAAAGCGAGAATCACCCGCCAGGGAGGATGGCCACGCTGCAATCCTTCTCTTCCGTTCTCCTCTGGAGACATCGGGCACGCACCCGAGCCCGGCATGAGTGTTAAGCTGCTGGGTCTGGGACTCGAACCGCAGTCGACTGCATGGGAGACCAGTGATATATCCATTACGCCATCTGCTGGTCCCTCAAATACTTTTTCTTTACCATAGGCAGGCCTCAGAACAGAGACAGCTCTGCCAGGAAGGTAACCATAGCTGGCGTCCTGGCAATGTGAAGTGCAGGGCAGCTTTCAAGACGCCGGCACAGTAGAGTAAGCGTCTGGGAGGGAAGGGCCACGCCGAGAGCATCGAGCACTTCTGCAGCCTCCAGCTGGCTCCACTCACAGGGCAGGCTAGAAAACCCACACGGTGTTCCTTCCGAACACGCTCAGTGTGTGCAAGTGACAAACACACTGGAAAGAGGAAACCATTCCTTTTTGTTTTTATTTGAAGTTTATTCATCTGCTTTCTTCATGAGAGAGAATTGGGAAATGGCTCTTTCTCTCTCTCTCTCGTTTTTTTTCCTTTTTTTTTCTTTTTTTTTTTTTAGCAACAAAGAGAGGGAGGGAAAGTGAGAAATTGCCCTCTGGAGGAATGATAATTTCTCCTCTGTTCTCATCTTGGGATTTTGGGAATGCATGCACCAGTGTCTGTCATGTCTTTCAAGTCACCAGGTCCAAGACTCAAACTGTGCAGTTGACCGTGTGGGATCCAGTTCTTTAACCTCCATGCCACCTGCTGGCCCTGGAGCATAGCCCCTCCTTACAGGGTCTTCGTGCTGTGACCTCCCCCAGTCCTGCAGCCAGCCGGGATTACAAGTGCATCCCTGCACACCTGCGTGTTCAGGCAGGCCTGGGATGTGAATCTAGAGCCTTCCCACATGGCCTCTAGCATCGTGCCCCTAATATTGGGCTGAGCCACAAATTCTTTTTTTTTTTTTTTTTTTTTTTGAGAGGTTTTTGCTATAGGGCGTGTGTGCTCGCCAGAAAGACAGAGAGAGACAGAGAGAAAGAAAGCGAGAAATCACCCCCCGGGGGTGATGGCCACACTGCAATCCCTTCTCCTCCATTCTCCTCTCGGGATCTTGGGCAAGCACATACACGCACCCGGCGTGAGTTAAGCCACGGGGCCCGGGACTCAAACCACGGTCGACTACATGGGAGTCCAGTGGCATAGCCATTATGCTAACTGCTAGTCCCCAAGCCACAAATTCTTTTTAACACAGTCCACTAGGGGCCAGCCCCATAGCACAGTAAAGTGCTATGCTTGGAAAGTCAGATCTCGCACAACTGACCCCAGTTCAAATCCTGACCCCAGAAACTTGAAAAACATGTCAGGTATGTGTGCATGTGTACACCAAATTCTGAAAGAAGAGAGAGGTGCAGAAGAGGGGACTGCAGCATGACCACACACCACCGGGAGCTGCTTTCTCCAAGCCTCTTCCCCTTCCCCCTCTTGCATACACACACCCTCTGGCGCTCTCTCTCTCTCTCTCTCTCTATATATATACACATCCAGAACAGCCACAGCTCTTCCTATCCCTGGCTTAAAACTTACTTTTATTCTTTGTTCATCACAAAGAACAGCTATGCACTCGCGGGGAGATGGAGGGAGGGAGAGACAGGAGCACTCTTTGCAGGGTCTGGCCTCCTGTGATTCCCTCTCTCTAACCTGTGGGTTCCAACCACAGCTGCCAGTTGGCATGTGGAATCCAGCTTCTTCTTCTTCTTTTTGATTTAACAATTTCTTATTATTTTTAGAATTTGATATAGGGCACCTGTGCTTGCTTACCAGAGAGAGACAGAGAGAGAGAGAGAGAGAGAGAGAGAGAGGGAAAATGAGAAAGCATGCCCCCAGGGGCAGGACTCAAACTGTAGTCAGTCACATGGTTGCCCAGCGCCCTAACAACTATGCCACCTGCTGGCTTCAAGGATCTGACTTCTCTTAAGCAGTACTTTACCACTGCATCAAGAAGACAGCCCCTGAAAGCTATCTTTTTTTTTTTTTTTTTAGTTTTTGCTCTTGGCATGTATGCTCCCAGGAGAGGTGTGGGGAGAGAAAGAGAAAGTGAGAAATCACCCCCAGGGGATGGCCACACCGAAATACCTTTCCCTCCATTTCCCTCTTAGGGTTCTAGGCACCCTTGCACATGCTTCTTAGATTTTTAGGCTGTTGGATGTGGAACTCCAACCTCGCAGTTGGCCACATGGGATCCAGCTGCCCTAAATACCACACCACCAGCTGTCCCCATATTGGTTTTTTTCTTTTTTTTTTTTTTGGGGCGGTTTACTTTTGGGCGAAAAAAAAACACATGGTCGGTCCCATGTAAGTGGCAAGGCTGAGGCAGCAGACACAGTCAATGTCCAGCCCACAAACAGAAGCCACGGCCCTTTAAAAAGTTCACGGAACAGCTGAGAAAATGACGCTACACCGAGCCACAAAAGCCAGAGATGAAACCAGAGCCCCTTGAATTCCAAAAAAATGCAGAAATTAGGCAGGCCACGTCCTCTAACTGCAGAACGACAAAACTGACATGAACGTGAAATAAAAACACCAGCCTCTTGGAAGCAAAGACACTCACCCTGTTTGAAATGAGAAGAAATCTCCCCCTCAGGAGGAGGAAATTCAGCTCACTTACAATTTGTTTTCAATAAGCAAAGAGACACCCTGGTGTTTCTGTGAAAGACTGCTTTAAGAATATTTCACATTTCTCAAAGTTGCATTAGCTAGTTTTCAGTTACATAAAACCTGCCTGCCATCAAGAAATGAAGTTCCTAGTGAACTTGCGCAACAGCTCAGCACTGAAAGGGATCTCTCCACCTTTGTCACCTTTTCTAAAACACAGGTGCTCACAGACAGTATGCAAGAAAAACAGGACTATCACGAAAGAGCAAGATGTCCTTGCAAAACTGCTTCCCTGGGCCAGCAGGTGGCGTGATGGTTAAGACGCTAGCCTCCCATATGGCTGATCATGGTTTGAGTCCCAGATGTGGCAGCTTGCTTTCTCTCTCTCTTTCTCTGTTAAAATTGAATACTACTACTAATAAATAAAATAAAATAAATAATTCTTTAAAAAATATTGCTTCCCTCCTTGCATTTCTTCTTTTCCTATGAGGACACTCTTTGGAGTGTTTTTTTAAATTTTGTTTTGTTTTTCAAGTTTTTTTTTTGTTATAGGGCACGTATGCTCGCTAGAGAGACAGAGAGATGGAAAGCAAGAAATCTCCCCCTAGGGGATGGCCACACTACAATTCCTTCTTGGGATTTTGGCCACACATATGTACCCAATGTTGAGTTTTAGCCACTGGGTCCAGGACTTGAACCGTAGTCAACTCTGGGAGGCCAGTGATGTAACCATTACACTATCTACTGATCCCTTAAGCTTTTTTTTTTTTTTTTTTTAATATTCCGGTATGAAAATCCATTACACGGTTGCCTTGTCCAGCCTGGGTACCTGAGCTCATAGCAGCTACTCAGTAAATATTTAAAAACACACAAATTAAAAATATATTAAAGTATTAACTAAATAATTACTGCACTTAATAGCAGTGATGTACTTATATACATTTAATATTATAGAGCAGAAATATTTTATTCACATGAAAAGATTTTTCATAACCTAACAGTAACGGTCAGTAAAGCAATTTACAAAACAGTCTACATTGAACGAACTTATTTTCTCTTTGTTCTCTCTGCCACACACATACAGTTTTTTAAAAATAATTATTTTAATTTTATTTATAATAATTGTTTTTTAAAATTTGACCAGAGAGAGAGGGAAATTGAGAAAACAAGCTAGCAGGTCTGGGACTTGAACCACTGTTGGTCATGTATAGTCCAGTGCCTTACCCACCACACCATCTGCTGGCCCCCATACAATTTTTTTTTTAGAGGGAGTTTTGCTATAAGGCACATACGCTTACCAGAGAGACAGAGAGAGATAGAGAGATGGGAAGTGAGAAATCACCCACTAAGGGCATGGCCATACTACAATCCCTTCTCCTCCCTTCTCCTCTCAGGTTTTGGGCATGCATGCACATGCACCCGGTATGAGTTTTAAGCCACCAGGTCGAGGACTTGAACTGTAGTTGACTAAGTGAGAATCCAGTGACATAACCATTATACCACCTGCTGGTCTCTACACATACAAGTTTCAAAGCCCTATGCACAAGTTTGAACAACAGGCAGTAAAAAACTACTTGGTGATCATGGCCTCTTAGAGTTCTAAGACAGGGGAAAGCACAGAGGGAACCTATTTTGTTTTACTGGGCATTAATTTACTTTGTTTCAAAGTTATACCAAATTGGTGGGGGATTGTCGGGGGACCCCACGAACCCAGATCATCTGGCGCCGCCTTTGGGCTATCCCTGCCTGGCTGTTGGCAGTTCGGGAGTAACCTGCTATCTCCACAAGCCATCTGCTTAACACTGACACTGCTAGAACCCGGAACAGCTACACGGCAGCTTGGGCTTCGCTGTCTGGGAGTAGTCACACTTCTGAGTTGGCGTCAAGTTTTCAATGACAAAAGCAGCCTGCTGTGAAGAAATGTAGCTCCTAGCAGACTGACACAGTAACTGACACAGTGACTCAGTAACTCAGAACCTAGCAATGAACCTCGGTCTCACTATGGTCTCACTACTGTCTCACTACGGAAGGACTGAAAAGTATTCACGCTGCATCACAAAGTGACCCCCAGCTGAAGTAAACGCTTAATCTGGTCTGGAAACCAATAAAGACGAGTTTCTAGTTACCTGTGGCGACACCTTCTTGTCTGGGAGCTGCTCTGGCCACAAACTGACTTCACAGTGGCAGGGCCTTCGCTAGGGCCTTGGCAGGGGCGGGCGGAGGAGGACGACTGTGATGCGTCCGCTGGACTGCCACTCGCCACCACCTGGGAGAAGAAAGTCACCGTGACCCCGCTTCTTGCAGAGACAATGGTGTCAGGTCGTGCCCAGGAAAGCCCTGTGCCCCTCCTCCCACACCCTTTTCCAGGCCTCGGTTGGAGGAGGGGCCTTCCCGGCTTCCTGGGGGGCGGGGGACTGGGATGGGTGCGCAGGCCGGAAGGTCTCAGAGCGACCCGCCGAACCCAAGGCGTCCGCACAGATTTTTCTTAGAAAGACTCTTGACATTTGGGTAACGCTTCCTCTCCTTTCAATTAAAAAACGGCTTGGAGAAAGTATGAAGGTGCGGGTGTCCGATCAGTCTGGCCTGGGGACAGGGCCGACCCCTCGACCTGCGCCAACACCTCCCAGAGACCCGGGCACCTAGACGGCCCGCGCGGAACCGCAGTGGCCCGGGGCTCAGGAGGGGCGGCGCGTGGCCCGCTGTGTGGTGTGGCCCTCGCAGAGACGCCACCCAATCCCGGGGAGCCTGCCTGGACCGCCGCGGGGCGCTCGGGCACAAAGTGGAACCCGTCCCTTGGAGGTGGTCCGCCCTTGGTGAAACTCACCCGCGGGCGCCGCATGGCAGTGTGGGTCTCGGGCTCCCTAGCCTGGGGGTCCCCGGGGGCTCGGGAAGCGCCTCCTCCCCAGTCAGTGACGCCCGAACTCGACAGCCGAGGGAGCGGTGAGCACCGACGTCCCTGCCCGTAGCCCTCCTCTCCCCGCGCCCCGGACAACCTGGGGACCCTGCGTCTCCGAGGGTCGGGTCCCCAGTCTCAACCTCCGCGCAGCCTTTAGCCCCACGGTCAGCACCCGACGCCAGGCAAGACCCGAACGATCCCAGGGAGGCTGAGCAGGGGCAGCCTCCGGGGCCCGGGATCCCTGCACAACTCCGCGCTGGCCCTCGCCCGTGCCCCTAGCCCAGCGGGCTGGGTCCCGCGCATGCGCCACCCGGCCCCTACCCCGCCCCCGTCCGCCGCCCTCTTGATCGTGGGGCGAAGGAGACCCA